ATTTAGTTGACTAGTTTGCTTTGGCCTTGCCTTTCTACCTCGCTACCTTGTTGTTGACACATGCTGTGCGTTGGACCTTCTGTGCCTGAAAGGCTCTACAGAAGCCTAAAAGCTTAAGCATGCCATCAACTGCAAAGTAGTGACTCACATTTGTGAAGACACTACACTTCTCAAACATTCCCACATAACATGTATTTTTTCACTCCTCAATAAAATCTCTATTCGAAGCTGGTCAAACCGTACAGTGGCAAGTACAGCACCTTCCAATTGCTAGTTGAGTGGCTGGATTGTGTATTAAGGACTCCTTACTATTGTGCAGCTGAGTGTAACCCGCCTCCTTGCCCGCCGCCAGCTATTCGTCTTGTCGGTGGCTCGAATGACCATGAAGGTCGTGTGGAGATCCTTTCTGGATGGAGAGTGGGGGACAATATGTGATGATGGCTGGGATCAGCTCGACGCTGAAGTTGTCTGCCGGCAGCTCGGGTTCCTTCCCTACGGAGCCGAGGCTGTTTTCTTACGCTCGTTTTTGGGCAAGGTAAGGCTCTTCGGTTGGCTGTATCATTGAGGAGTGTGTCAGTACGTAAAGGTTAGTTTAATAACTAATACAATTGAGGTCAGTGGAAGAGTAGTTAGGTTACGTTTAATTGTTTGTATTATACTACCATTTTCAGATCGTATGGTTTTATGCGTAGGCTTAGTGCGGGTTCAACAAACAGTCATATAAGAAATCTTTTATTACTTACTCCCGTGCCACAAATTGTCTTAATGACATAATATGAATATTACTTATTACATACTGTCTCGTTTACCAAATTTGTCAGGGTACCGCCCAATTATCTTGATTATGTGGGGTGCAATGGACTGGAGCTGTATATAACAGACTGCCCACATTGGCTACTTCCAGCACTACTGTGCATTATGAGGATGCTGGTGTCACTGCACACGTAAGGACCAACCAGAAACTACGCATGCATTTTTAAAGTTAGAGCACAGGTACACAATGGTACACAATTCAAACTGCTCCATAGAGTGGCCTGCCAGTAATGAGTGCTAACACTTAGTGTCAGACATGACAGAAAATTTGAGTAAAGACCATGAAAATATAGGAACCACAAACTTTTGTTTTTCGCTTCTTAAACGTGAACAGCGATATGTCCGATGGAGCCTTGTCGGGGGTAGTATCCAAGGTTACCACTACTGTTGCGTAATATAGTATGTGTATGGCAGGGAACATGTACAGTAAGTGGTGTGCTCTAACCCTGACGATACAGCTCGCAATCTGAACGATGAGTTCACAAACCCCATCCGCCTCGTCGTCAACGGAAATGAGACCGGCGTGAACGAGGGAACCATCCAGATCTTCTACAACGGGACTGGGGCACCGTATGTGACGACTACTGGGTTTCTCAGAGGCCGAGGTGGCCTGCCACATGCTGGGATTCGCCGACGCCATCAGAGCCTATTCCAGGTTTGTCACTTTCAGCCTTGTCGTTCTAGAAGTTATAAGTGCGTGAGCACTCGCACAGATAACTGATCAAACTTGCTGTCTCTACCCTTTTGAGTATGCATTGTGTTAAAACGGCAAATGACCAGCTGGCGCATATGGCATTTTTTCCATCCACATTACTTACTTCCAAATGTGTTTGTTGTTGTATATAGAAGGCCCAAGTGTAGTCTTCTTTAATAGTTTGTTGCAAGTCGTGTTACTAATATTAGATAGATGTTAAGGTAAATAGCTAAGCATGACCAGGTGAACAAATTGTGCCAATTGTTTTGCAGGGGTATAATATATGTATAAAAGTAATCAGCTTTGCTTGCATTTTTACTCCATTAACCTTGTGTATTGCATCTTAGTGCCTACTTTGGCCCTGCACCGGGTGACATCCTCCTGGACAACATGAGATGTGCTGGGACAGAGCACGAGCTGATAGAGTGCTCCCACAATGGAGTCTTCAACCATGACTGTTCTCATGAGGAAGATGCTGGAGTCTCCTGTACAAGTAAGCTCTCTTTCTTGCCTAGTGCCATTAAATAATACCAACCTCGATGCAAGCATGCATTGCTAATAAATACAAATATGCATTTGTCAACATCAACATACATGCATGAGGGCAAAGCAAAGGCAAACACGCCCGGGTGGGATTTGAACCCACGACACTCTGATGATGCAGTACCACTAATTGGTGGGCTGGGCTACGCTGTCTAGTCATCGTGGTCTCTCTTCTCGTGTAGCACGCCCGGAATCTGACACTGGCTACCTTCACTAGTACTAGGTAGCCTTTAAGGCATTGCAAGACTTGAGACTCACCCTCTGTTAGTACGCTAACAGGGGGAATTATGCATGCTCTATTGCTGATTAATCAGTCATTATTGGGGATGAATAAAGCCCCCTAGAATATTCTAGGGGGCTTTATTCATCCCCAATAATGACAGATAGTTATTCATCATAGTCAAGAGGTTTTGTGTGATTACCCTCGGCGTGCATGCGCAGCGAGGGTACTGTAGTTGGGTGTGTGTGTGTGTGTGTGTGTGTCTGTTACTCTACATCTCACTTTTCGAATGTCTGTTCGTCTCACAAACGATATGACCTACTCAACGGGCAATGAAGGTCAGATATTTTGTGGGGTTTTCTCTGAAAATGCTCCTTTGCAAAGCTAGAGCGCTTCCAGCATTGTATGGCTAATGCCGGTAGTCGCCATTTTATCGCTGGCGGATAATGCGCATGCGCTTATATTTAGCACCGACCGGGTCCGCTTGCTCTGTTTATCTTGAAGGCACAAGAAGTCACAACGAATGGCGTGTATCGACTCTCGCGTGCTATCTTACTGTAGCTAGCCCGTGTCAGACACTCTGTGAGCTACTTCGCCGAGGGTTTGCACTTTAGTGCTTTCATTAACCCTCGGCGCGCATGCGCAGCGAGGGTTACTGTAGTTGGGTTTGTCTGTCTGTCTGTCTGTCTGTTACTCTCAATCTCACTTCTCGACTGTTTGTTTGTCTCACAAAGGATACGACCTACTGAACGGGCAATGAAGGTCAGAAAATAAAGGCGGTTTTCTCTGAAAATGCTCCGTTGCAAAGCTAGAGCGCGAAAAAGCCAATATGCAAATACACAACGGACGGGATGGCTTACCACAGTCGGATCGATCCGCGTGTTCTGCGTACTTCGGAGGCACCAGAAGATGCAACGCAGGGCCTCTCGCATGCTATCTAGCCCGCGTCAGACTTTGCGCGAGCTGGCAAGAGACCACGAGTAACAGCGAAAACTAAACCCAGCCCATCAATTAGTGGTACGGCGCATGCGTTTACTTACGCGTGCGCGTCACAGTGCGCCGAGGGTTTGCACTTCAGTGCTTTTCATTGTGTCTGTCTGTCTGTCTGTTTGTCTGTTTGTCTGTCTCTTACTCTCAATCTCACTTCTCCGGTGTTTGTTCGTCTCACAAAGGATACGACCTACTTATCGGGCAATGAAGGTCAGAAAATATGTGGGGTTTTCTCTGAAACTGCTCCGTTGCAAAGCTAGAGCGCGAAAAAGCCAATATGCAAATACACGACGGACGGGGTGGGGTGGCTTACCACGGTCCGATCGATCCGCGTGCTCTGCGTACCTCGGAGGCACCAGAAGATGCAACACAGGGCGTGTATAGCCTCTCGCATGCTATCTAGTAGTGTAGTTAGCCCGCGTCAGACTGCGCGAGCTGGCAAGAGACCACGAGTAACAGCTAAAACTAAACCCAGCCTATCAATTAGTGGTACTGCGCATGCGTTTACTTACGCGAGCGCGTCACACGTACACTGCGCCGAGGGTTTGCTCTTAGTGCTTTTCATTAAACCAGTAATAATCTCCCGTACTCATTCATGTCTAAAGCAATGAAGGTTGTAAATGAAAGTGTAAATGTGAACTAACATTATTCATGTGTATTCACACACATACATACGCAGACTACACGGCGTCTGAGAATCCAGTTCGTCTTGTGGGTGGAAATGGCCGTAACAAAGGTCGGGTAGAAATCTACAACCTGGGACAGTGGGGAACTGTCTGTGACGATGGCTGGACTGTCACTGATGCAAACGTGAGATTTTTTGTGCAAAAAACCCTACACACACACACCCACACGAGTCAAAGACGAGCGACTAGCTCAATGTGCTTAGCTAGAATTATAGAATTGTATCAGGGCTGGCACCACCAGAGTGCACCAGGTGGACATGGTCCCTCTATCTCATTATTCATGCCATGAATATTCTTTGTATGGGACACTTAGACCCCCAAATAGTTGTTACTAAAGTCTGTTCGCGTTCACCTTGCCGCACTAGTCAAAACTGTTTACGCAAGGCTGCGTCACAATTGAAATATCGCGAACATTTGTGGGCAGTGGATGTCGCGCATGCGTTGAATACGTTCTACGTGCATAGATAGTTCCGTGAGTTTATCTAGTAAAGACGGTTTATACTGACCTTTGCACTGTCATTCGCCTCTCATTCTTGCCTTTTCCTTGGTCTGGGCTCCCGCAGTAGCCGGGGAGAGAGGGTTCTTGCTCGCGCACATTGGACCCGCGGTCAAAGGAACGTCGCGTACTTTGCTTACAGCTAAGTACGTGAGTGGGCGTTGGACGCGCTCGCAAAGCAGATAAATAGAACCTACGCTCAACTACAACCACGCTGCGCTTTGAAATTTCGAAAATCGGTCGCTGTTTAGCTACATTACGGCAGATTCCTACCGGCAAGGTGAACGCGAATAGACTTTAGGACCATCTTAAATGAACTGATTGTCCCCCAGTAAAATATCTCTGGAGCCAGATCTGCAAATTTATGTGCATATGTAACTTTGTTACCTAGTGGTTTATGGATCCATACACAACTGCAGGTGGTATGTGTGCAGCTGGGCTATGCTGGAGCCAACAGGGCCACAGTCAGAGCAGAGTTTGGACGGGGAACTGGAACCATCTGGCTGGACAATGTCGCCTGTACTGGTCTGGAGACTGCACTAGATTTGTGTGCTAGTAATGGTTGGGGCAATCATGATTGCAGTCACTATGAAGATGCAGGGGCTGAGTGTGAGGGTGAGTTCCAGCCCACACTACTACACCCCCCCTGATCCCTCTACTGAAGCAATCCTCACAATTACCCCCTTACTTTAGCCTGTACTTGAGTGGTGTTGTGGGCTCTTAAGAGAGTTCCCCTGGGTGTAGTTGAATGTATTTTTTTTGCGTAAGTGAACGCAGTAGCTCTAGGCTAAAACATGGTGTACACTACCTAAATTTAGTGCAAACCCTCGGCGCACTACGCGTGCCCGGTATCGCTAATTGATGGGCAGGGCTAGGCTCTGCAAGTTACTCGTGGTCTCTCCCGCTATATAGCATACTTACCAACCATCCAGCTTTTTTGCTTGAAAATCAAGCAAAAATACTGCCTATCCCACCAGAAAATCGCCAAATCCCTCTTTTTGTGCTAACCTGTGATGCATCATGCCCATACATTTTGAATGGACATGCAGCATTATCAAGCAAAATACTCCAGATCAGCAAATTTGACACATTTCTCAAGCAAAGGTTTATCTGCAGGTTGGTAGGTATGATTATAGCAGCTCGCGGAGAGTCTGAACACGGGCTAGCTACACTAGTATACTGCATGCGGGAGTCGACACACGCCCTCTGTTGTAACTTCTTGTGCCTCCCAAGGTACGCGGAGTATGCAGATCAGTTCCAGGTAAGCCAGCGCGATTATGCATTTGGATTTTGCTTGTTTCACGGCATATCTCTCGAACGCAGTCCTTTCAGGAAAATCGACTAATATTTCTCAGGTTCGATGGTTCTGAAGCCGGTGGTATTGACTCATTGGCCACCTCCTAGCCTGTAGTGCCAGATAAGTGTCGACAGACAGACAGGACAGACAGACAGAACAGAACGACTATGTAACCCTCGCTGCGCATGCGCGCCGAGGGTTAACTATGATTCTGATATAACCAAACATTAATGATGTCTTGAATGAGGAAATTGAGTCAGCTGAGCGTATAGATAATGGCAGAGAATTCCATCTTTGCCTTTGCCTTTCTAATGCAGATGTATTACATGTACATGTAATCTGTATTACGTAGTGATAGCTAAATTGCCTTGTGGGTTTTTATTCTCGAGGGCATCGGATCTTCAGCACTATTGTACAATGGTCAAACCCCCATAGTTATAACTGCCATATGTTTTTAAATAAATAACAGGTGCAAGCTCGCAGCTAATGCCAGGTCCAAAAATTTGTTTTCGTGAAAGAACTAGATGTGTGATGCATTTTTTTCACTTTGGTGGTAGTTTACTATTTGGAGAGAGCCCTAAATTTGCTACACGAGTATTGTTTTTTTCACTGGTTTTCACGTTATGTTTTTCTGTACCCTTTGAAGGAGAGGTGCTCCCTATCAGGCTACGGGGTGGCTCCACTGATATGGAGGGGAGAGTGGAGGTCTATTACAACGGGACGTGGGGCACAGTGTGTGACGACTACTGGGGACCTCAGTGATGCAACAGTCGTCTGCCGTCAGCTGGGATATGATGTGGCCGTCAGTGCCGAGAGTTTGGCCACTTTTGGACAAGGACAAGGTGTGCTCCCTGTTTTGCTTAGCTTTGCCTTTGAGTGCCATTACAATTGCCATGTTCACACGGTGCATTCCATTTTTTCTCTCTCATCCTCTCCACACAGGAAAATCCTCTTACACTGGTGTTTTTTTTTAATACTTACGTACCTATAAATGCAGTATCATGCCAATGTATATACGCGATAATTAGTATCAGATTCGAGCACCTCACTGTGCAGATGAGGTTTGATAGTAGACCGCTTACAGTCATAAAAAAGAGGGGTCGAACAGTTGTCAACTAGCTCTGTATCATTGCACATCAGATTAGAAAAGAATTATAGTACAAGCCAGGACAGTTACATATGTACATGTGTATGTATCATCATGGTGACCAGAACCACACTACCACAAAGAACTGAAGAATCGTGTCTTGTTCATTTGCCTGCAGGTCCGATCTGGCTGGATGATGTGGCCTGTGTTGGCACGGAGAGCTCTCTCTCTGAGTGCTCCAACTTGGGTTATGGTGTCCACAACTGTCGCCACTACGAAGACGCTGGTGTCCGATGCTCAAGTAAAGTTTTTTTGTGAAATATGTGCATGAGCAGAGCTTTTAGCAGCAATGGTCGCATTACCATAGGTGCTTTGCCTTTATAAACTCGTGATGCCAGAGAGAGAAGTTGTGGTATGCTTTGCTGATGAGGGCCAACAAGCCCGAAACAGCTGTCCAGAGCTCCCCATCTTTTTTCTCTTGGCATCACACCGTCTATTGTTACATGCATACATATTTAGCAGCGATGGTCGCATTACTGTATGTGCATGCTTACATATATGGTCCCAACAGTATGGGAGTATATTACATATGCACTCACTTTACAGGTTCATATGCGAAAACACAATAATTCAAATGCCCAATTTCCGCATTGACGTCAATGTTTACAGGAAACGCAAGTGTGCGATTTTTTTCCGAACATTTTATCTCTGACTACATACGTAGTAGGAAAATCTTCCACATTGCCTCTTGTATGGAGTACGCCACATAAGCGATATAACTGCTGAAGCTGTAGTTAGCTGTAGTAGTTAGTTTCCCCATAGACGTCACTGCTTACAGGAGTGTAGTTAAACACAATTGTGCGATTTTTTCAAGCATTTTACCTCTGATGTTGACGTTGGTCCACATTCCCTCTTGTATGAAGTTCGCCTCATAAGCTGTACTTCCTGCAGTAGTTAGCGGTGGTTAATCCATACATACCAGTGGCAAAGCCTTGTGGGGATGAATCTCATTAGTTCAGAACCACAAGTGCTGTGCTCCTGACAGCCTTTATAAACTCGTGATGCCAGAGAGAGAAGTTGGTGCTGATGAGTGCCAACAAGCCCGAAACAGCTGTCCAGAGCTCCAGAGCTCCACATCTTTTTATCTTGCCATCACATGGTCTAATACCTTCATGTATATAAGTGCTTGTTGCGTCCTCCAGATGATGTGACGCCGCCCCCAGAGACCCACCTGAGAATAATGGGAGGAAATAATGAAAGTGAGGGGAGAGTGGAGATCTTGTTCAACGGTACATGGGGCACCATCTGTGACGACTCCTGGGACATCAGGGACGCCGAGGTTTGACTCAATGTGTTATCATGCATCTCACCTAAAATACAGATGTGCGCATCGGATTGTTAATTTTGAAACACACTGTTGTCATTCTACATAGACTGATGGCCCAGACGACAACTCTAGAAAGTGTTCGAAGAAGTGAATTTGTATTGTTGACGGCATTTGTTGGGCTTGAAATCTGATACATGTACTAAAGGAATCTGATCCATGTACTATTAAGGAAATCTGATACATGTACTATTAAGGAAATCTAGATCCATGTACTATTAAAGGAAATCTGAGCCATGTACTATTAAGGAAATCTGATCCATGTACTATTAAGGAAATCTGATCATGTACTATGAAGGAAATCTGATCCATGTACTATTAAGGAAATCGGATCCATGTACTATTAAGGAAATCTGATCCATGTACTATTAAGGCATCTGCAACTAAAGGGTTAAGTGTTGATATTAGTAGTAGAAAACCATACTTAGGCAGTACATATATCTCTCACTGTATTGGTTTCATAGGTTGTATGTCGAAATCTTGGCTTTGACTCTGCGACTGAGGCCTCTCCAACGGATACTTCGGACCTGGTGGGTCGAGCCAGCCCATCTGGTTGGACGACGTCCAGTGTTTCGGGACAGAGTACAACCTCACCTCCTGTCTCACCTCTCGCTTTGGGGATACCAGTCACTGCTCCCACTATGACGATGCTGGAGTACGATGTCACTGTGAGTTGCCGTTTTGAACAATCCAAGGCAGTTTCAACACATCTCTCTTTACACTGTGCAGACACATAATGTATTAGCAAATTGCTTGCCTACTCATTTTTGAATGTGAAACAGACTGTGCATTTTTATGTGATGGGCACTGGCACTAGACACACAGGAATGTTTTCGTGATTGCAAATACACATGTGGACAATTGAACTCATCGCGTTTGCTCGCCAAATGCTTTTTATTAACTTATGTACAACGTGGCTCCAAACGTGGACTTTACCATCCATAAGTGTATTAACCTTCACCTCCAGTGGCAATTAGTGGTCCGAGGGTACGACTGGTGAACGGTACTACGGCGGGCGAGGGTCGCGTGGAGGTGTTCCACGAGGGAGTGTGGGGCACAGTGTGCGACGACCACTGGAGTGAGATCGACGCCAACGTTGTCTGCCGGGAGCTCGGCTTTGTCAGAGCTCTGAGTGCTCCTCACAGATCAACATACGGAGCAGGAAGTGGAAGAGTGAGTGTGCCACCATCTTTTGTTCTTTTTCTCGTTAATGTTCTTCTTTGCAATTTTTTCTTCTCTGTTTGTGCATCAGATATGGTTTAATTTTCCTCTATGGTATTCCTTTTTTGTCTGTTTGTCCGTTTTAGATATGGTTTAATGGAATTCCCTTTTTGTCCTTTTTTGTATGTTTGTCCGTTAGATATAGTTGAATTTTCCTCTATGGTATTCCTTTTAATGTCTGTGTGTGTGTGTATCAGATATGGTTGGATAATGTGCGGTGTGATGGAACAGAACCGACAATATTCAACTGCTCTCGCTCTGACTGGGGTCACAACAACTGTGACCATTCCGAAGATGCCTCAGCTGTCTGTACAGGTACATAACATGTAGACCTATTGCATTTTTTGTTCGTATAGACACATGTATGTATGTATGTTAAAAAGCCTCGAATAATTTTGATTCCTTACCTGTGAACTAACTCAAGATTCATTTTTAGCATGGCACGTGAGACTGGCTGGGTTAAACCGAACCCAGGTTTGACCCAATACAGTTGGGGCTCTCTCATATAACCCTGTTTCACATAAACCAGGTCTTAAAATTTCCTTCTTGTACTTCATTAAGAAGTACACTTAGTCATAAATGAAGAGCCGACCTATAATTTACTTTATCCATTGGGGCTGTATTATGCACCATACAGCTTCACGTAACAGTGCACATTAAATTTAGGCTACTAGAGCTTTGTACAAAGTTGTGAAAATTTTGCATGTACGTACTGTATGTGTCCTTGGCCCCCAAAGAGTTCGTTCCCCATAGTCTTTTCACATGACCCTCCACAGCTGTACCAGACAATCCCTACCCAGTCCAACTAATTGACGGCTCCTCGGCCAACGAGGGTCGGCTCCAGATCTACTACAACAACCAGTGGGGGACCGTGTGTGACGACAGTTGGACTCTCAGCGATGCTAACGTTGTCTGCAAGTCTCTTGGTTTCCCAGGAGCCGATTCCAATGACTTCTTACACGAGTATGTATATTACAACTGTATATACTTACCCTAATCTTGTGCTTTAAAAGCCCTTTTATTGTAACTTGGCATAGTGGAATTCAGTTCAAAAATGTTGTAAGGCCCTCTTAATCACTTACTACGACATGTTTAATTTGGCTTGTATCACCAGTAAAGCATACTAATACACACATTAAAATGTTTTCGTTTTTACATACGTATGGTAAGTACGTAGTTAGTTACGATTTTCCTATGGCATGAAGCAAGCAGTATATACCTTGTATCATTCCTCAGTTTTGGAGCAGGGTCAGGTCACATCTGGCTGGACAACGTTGTCTGTGCTGGTACGGAGATGTTCATCCAGGACTGTGGCCACAATGACTTTGGAGAGAACAACTGTCAACACTCTGCCGACGTAGGCGTGCGATGCCTCCGTAAGTACATACATATGTGTAGGGACATTAATGTGCAAAGGTATATAGGCAAAGTAAAAAACTAATGGGAATGTGTCAGTATATAAGGGTAGTAATGTTACTAAAGACTGAACTTAATTGCATTCTTTCACTGTGCCCTATTGTTTTGTTCTATCTTTAGTAACATTTCTACTTATATACATACTGCCAGATTCCCTTTAAGGATTGGTTAAAGCATGATTTGGTGTATATTGTGGGTGTTTGCTCCCAAAGCCCTCCACACTAATTCACCTGGTGTTGCTCCATACAGACCGATTATTATCTCTATGGGTGTCATTAAGTTTGCTTATCTATTTTCCTATTCCAAATATTATTGGGACATCAGCTAATACCCTCGAGGTTCGTCTGGTAGATGGTAACAGCTCGTCGTCAGGGAGAGTGGAGGTCAACTATGACAACCAGGGATGGGGCACCATCTGTGATGACCAGTAGGTGTAACAACTCGTTACGTTCATGATGGCGTATTCTTTGTTGAGATTTCAGACTTGGTAGTGGAGCCCAGACACCAATGGGAATGAAAAGTGTGCCTATATTAGTGAGGTGTCTGTGTTTTAGTCATGCGAGAAACTGTTCTCGACTAAAGAAAAGGTGTCCCTTTTAGAGAGGTGTCATCATTTGAGAGGTGTCCTTATAGAGAGAGGTCAACTACATGCTACAATTATATGCTGTAGCTTTTAGAGAGTTTTCGTCATTTCAAGGGTGTCCTTTTGGAGAGGTATCCACAGTGTACTCCAAAATTTCTTGCAGCTGGGGTCTTCATGATGCTGACGTTGTGTGTCGGATGTCGGGACATCAATCGGCTCAGTCGGCTCCCAGAGGAAGCTTCTTTGGAGGTGGAATCGGAGTCATTTGGTTCGATGACTTCATATGTACTGGACACGAGGAGTCCCTACTCGACTGCTCCCACAGTGGGGTCAAGGTTCACGACTGTAATCACGGAGAAGATGCCAGTGCTGTGTGCTCTGGTGAGCTAAGATTGTGCAATGTTTGTCGTCTTGTATACTCTTCTCTCTATGTATTCGTAAAGTCCATTGCAGTACCTAGCCTCGCCATCTCACTTTTTCTTTTTCACAGATTTTGCAGTGTGCCGTAACTTTTCTTGGGATGATGGACAATTCAGAGTTAGTAACCAGCAGTTTCATCGATACACCGAGGGCACTCGGGTGGACATAACCTGTGACAATGGGTACCATCCAACGCTCTCTGTTAGCTATGCCATATGTGCTGCAAATGGACAGTGGACTCCACACACTCCGGCCTGCTCAGGTAATGTACAGTGGAATCTCCAAACAAGGGACACTATGGGGACAACGACTTCGTCCCTTGTAGAGAGGTCGTCCCTATCTCAGAAGTCAAATAATACACTGAAGTATTATTAGCATGGGGTTGAAACAGGCGTCCTTTGTTGAAAGGTCGTCCCTATCTCGCAGGGTCCCTTACGAGATGTTCCATTGTACTTCATTCTCCCCCTCTCTCTACTTGTTTCAAAATGTTCCTGACCACATGTTTTTAGTCTTCATGGCTTATGTCAAGGATTCTTCAATACCCTCTTTTAGTTATAGTAAAGCTTGTGCTATAGGGGGTGCAAACCGACCATTGCAGACCTCCGAGTAGTGACTGAATAAGATTGTATTTGTATTCCAGCATATTGTGCCGTTTATTGCCTGCTCCTGATCAGACAAATATAGTCTGAATTAAAGTGCTAAAGTGTATCATTTCCTCCATTGACGAGGAAGTTATGGGGCATAAATGTTTGGTTTTGTTTTTTTATGAATATAATGCTGCTCTCTCAGTCAGTTGTCCCACTCTCCGGAGTCCTAATCATGGTCGTCTGAGTACTACGGACACAGACCCAGGTGTTAGTGTTCGTGTTGTGTGCGACGATGGCTACACCTTCGATGAAACCACTGGCGATCCCAGCACGGTGTGTCGTCTGACTGGGTCGTGGAGCTCTACTCTTGGTGGCTGCAAGGAAGGTTAGGTTTGAGGGGAAATGTTGCAGTATTATATGGGATTTGAAACTAAGTGCTTGCCATAAACTTAGTGCTAGAAGAGTTGTAACTATAATGCAGTATTATGCCTTGCCCACTCAAGTATTGGGTGTGGCCTGATGGATAATACATCACACATTTGATCGTGAGGTCCCGGATCGATCCCTGTCTGGATCATTTTTTATAATGATGTAATGTGAGGGTTGATATAAGAGGAGCCCTTTTTCATCAGCTCTCGTGGCCAGCCCAAGTGGCTCAGTGGTTAGAGACGTGGGGACTGACACATAAGGTGCCCGGTTCGAATCCCGGACCGCACTGAAACTGTCAGGTGGTCCAGAGCATTGGCTGGGAACAGCTCTGGTTCCTCCCCTTACCCATGAATCTACTACTGACCCATGTTTCTCAAAGGGCAGCGTATAGTTCGGCATAGCACTGCGTCCGTAGACGTCTGTCCGGAGAGATGGAAGGGCTGGCCCATTATGTTTTTATTTTTTCAACCTTAGGAATATATTGTTTTTCCTAAAACATAAGTTGAAATTGTGTATAACATTCAGTAATATTTTTTACTGTATGGCCAGTAATGGTTTTAAGCTTCTCAAGATTTTTCTCTGGATAGATGGAGGGTTTGCCATTTTTTGGAACATCCTGTTTTGATAACTGTAGGGCCAGTAATTTTTTAAGCCTCTATACAACTTTGAACAGCTCTCGTTCCTCCCCTTACCCACAGATCGATCTTGCCCTTGAACCACATACATCTTGAATGACAGCGTACAGTTTGGCTTTGCACTGCGTCCATAGACGTCTGTCTGGAGAGATGAAGGGCTGCTTTTTCCTTTTTTCAACTTTGCCTCAGATATGCAGTTGCCTTTTTTATGCATGGCCAGTATTGTTTTCCATTTGTAAGGAGCCTCTTAACATACTCTCTGATTGCCCATTACTTCTTTTTCATATGGTACATATATATACAAGTGGAAAAATCATTTCTT